CATAATACCCTCCAGTTCCATCCACGTCATTGCAAATGGCAAGATCTCATTCCTTTTGATGGCTACATAATATTCCATTGTGTATATATACCACATCTTCTTTATCCATTCATCTGTCGATGGACATCTTGGCTCTTTCCACAGTTTGGCTGTTGTGGACATTGCTGCTATGGGTTTCAGGAGTTTTCTAACAATTTTTAAATCTCTTCTAGTCTTTCTTCTCTTGTTTGCATGCTGTCTTCTTTTAGCTTACCGCCTTTACACAAATGTAGGAGAGTGTGATTAGACTGTCAGCCCTCAATATCCAGTTGCTTTCAGTCTTTTTTCTCCAATTCCAACTCTTCTCCTTTCAAAGTGAAGATTGCTCTAGTTTGGATTATTTTCTGCCTCAGAAGTCTGTGGTAGATTGATAAGAAGGGCCTTGCAAGTTCTTAGATTAAGTTGAGGTAGGAAAATCTGAGGACAATCCTCAAATATTGTGTTCCCTTTTTTTGTGTTAGGCTGCTGAACAAGCGAAAGCGAGCCCAGCATTGGTTGCCAAAGATCCTGGTACTGTGGCTAACAAAAAAGAAGAAGAAGATTTAGCAAAAGGTATGTTTTTAAGTTCCATGTATTGGAAAGGTGGGAAGAAAATGGGTCCCTTACTTAATATTATTTTCCTGAGATATTTAAAAGTAAAAGACATAGGGCTTTACCCTTAAGGCTGAAATCTACTTTGTGCCCTTCTACAGTATCAAATAATACTCTTCTGTGATAACTACTATTCATATATGTCTTTTCAGTCTATGTTGTAATACTATTTTTATTATACTGTATATCCATAAACAATACCAAATACTTTCATGTGTCCAACAAATTCTTTTTTCATAAATAATTATATATACCATTTAGTTTTTTTATGTGACAGTATGTCTAAGATCTAATCATAATAAAACATATAAATCAAGTTCACTTGTTTTAACTATTGTGCAATATTCCAGTGTGCTAATAAATATATACTGTAGTTCATCTGTCCTGCTGCTGATGGATATTTGAGTTTTCTGGGGTTTTTTGTTTGTCTTTTTTTTTTTTTTTTTACTATAAGTAGGCTGCATTGAGTATTCTTGTAAATATTTTCGTATGTGTGTTGTGTGACTGCAACTGGTATTTTTGGCTCATGGGGGAGGTACATCTTCAACTTTGCTAAATAGTTTTATTATTTCCTTTGCCATTAGCAGTATATGAAAGTTATTATTAATATTTTTAATCTCCTGAAAACATTTAGTATTGTCAGAGTTTAATTTTTGTGATTCTGATATGTTGGAAATAATGCCCAATTATCTTGACTTTTATTTCCTTGATTACTAGTGAGGCTGGGTCCTTTTTTGTGTGTTTATTAGCTGTTCTGATTATCTCTCTCTTTATTGAGTTTTTGTTTTTTTTTAAGATAATGATATATAGAAAGTCTTTAATTTTGGATGTTAAACTTTTTGCCTGTTTTTTTTTTTTAAGTATTTATTTATTTATTTGAGAGAGTGAGAGAGAGAGCCCAAGATGGGGGACGGTCAGAGGGAGAAGCAGATTCCCCATGGAGCTGGGAGCCTGATGTGGGCTCGATGCTGAGACTCCGGGATCATGACCTGAGCTGAAGAGAGTTGCTTAACTGACTGAGCCACCCAGGCACCCTTGCCTGTTATTTCTATTATAGATATCTACTCTTGATTTTTGGCTTTTACTTTAACTTTGATAATGGTGTATTTTATCAAACAGAAGTTTTAAATTTTGATGTCAAAATTTTTGCTTTTTTGTTATGATTTTTGCTTTTTTATATCTTAAGATATTTTTCCCTACCCCAAATCCTAAAAGGTACTTTCCTGTATTTTCTTATGATCATTTTAAAGTTTTTTTTTTCCTATTAGGTATTTTATCAATGTAGAACAGAGGTGGAAGGGATGAAGGGGGTTATGGTTTGAGTTGAAAGCAGGGTAATCAGTCTGTTCAGATTACATTGCAAAGCCTGAGTGACACATGGTGATGGTCTGCATTGGGGGAGGAGTGGAATCAATAGAAGGAACACATTTGAGGGGTGCCTGGGTGAGTGGCTCAGTTGGTTAAGTGTCCGACTCTTGATTTTGGCTCAGGTCGTGATCCCAGGGTTGTGAGATCTAGCCCTGCCTTGGGCCCCATGCTGGGCATGGAGCCTGCTTAAGATTCTCTCTCCCTCTCCATCTGCCCCCGCCACCAGAAGAAAGAGACACATTTGAAATCTCTTTGGAGGAATTTGTTAGGTGAAACTTCATTGTAGTTATTTCCAAGTTCCACTTCTTAGACTGATCACATAAGAATTAACTTTGGAGCCATAAAATGCAGGTTCTTGGATACTACCTCTGACACTCTGATTTAGTAAGTCTTCATTGAGATTTGGGACTCTTGACTTCCCAAGTGATTTTGATTATCATTTTGGGAACAGAAGCTATAGAAATATATTGAAAAGATGAAAGAAAGTATCTGCAGCTAAATAAAAAAAGTGTATCTAAGAAATTATAACTTTTTAGTCCCCAGAATAATTTAAGTTTTATCCATTCAGTAAAAATAGTCATTGTGCAGGGCACCTGGCTGGCTCAGTTGGTAGATCATGTGACTCTTGTATGAGTTCAAGCCTCATGTTGGGTTTAGAGATTACAGAAAAAAATAAACTCTTAAAAAATAGTCATTATTCTGTTCAATTTTTTTGTAGTTTATTTTTTAAACTTTCAGTTGTGAATGAATGAATAAAACTGATGAAATTTTTTTATTATGTCAAGATATGTCCTAGTTCCCATCTCCACATTTAAAAGAATACATTTTACCTTCAGATACCTTTTTGTACTTCTTTGGATTGTTGGATATATTAACATTTTGGGTCTTTTTAACTCATTCTTTTCCAGCTATTGAGCTGTCCTTGAAGGAACAAAGGCAGCAGTCAACCGCCCTTTCTACTTTGTACCCAAGCACATCCAATCTCTTAACTAACCACCAGCATGAAGGCCGAAAAGTTCGTGCTATATATGACTTTGAAGCTGCTGAAGATAATGAACTTACTTTTAAAGCTGGAGAAATAATTACAGTTCTTGATGACAGGTGATGGATAATATCAAATTGATATTAAGTTGACATTCATATGAAAATATATAACATATTACTTCTGTGTTTCATATTAATCCTGTTGAATGCCATTACCAAAGGTAATAAGAAAAAATTTTGATGTAGATATTTCCTGTGTGTGACAGTTTGATTGCTTTGCTTGTATCATACTGTCTGGATTCTTATTTTATGGTTTAATTTTTTTTCTTATCTCTAAGATTTTGTTTTGGAGGCCTAGTTTATTCATTTTTTGTCCATCTAATAATATAAATTATTAAATTAGTAAGGTTAATATTTTAGAAAATACGCCAAATACGTCTATGTATTTATGGAATTTGTTAGAAATGTGTAATATATTGAACTTATTTATTCACAAAGAATAGCCTATCCATGGGTCAAATTCATTTTACTTGGAATTATATACATTTACATTATTATGGGAGGTGATTCAGTACCTCTGTTTTTTTTTGTCTTGTTTTTATTTTAAATTCAATTAATTAACATATAGCGTATTACTAGTTTCAGAGGTAGAGTTCAGTGATTCATCTGTCTTATATAATACCCAGTGCTGATTACATCATGTGCCCTCTTTAATGTCCATCACCCAATTATCCTATCCCCCCACGCTCCCCCGCCCTCCAGCAACCCTCAGTTTGTTTCCTCTAAGTACATCTGGGTTTTGTGTTTACTCAAAATTTGTTACTGATGATTGTTGCTGATAATTAAGTACTAAAATTTGCAAGTGGTTTTAAAAAATAAATTCAAAAAAAATTTAGGTTATTCCTATAGTAGCACACTTACATTGTTTTCTTGAGTGAAAGAAAATGAAGTAAAGTTTGAGCTGTTTAGCTGGAAATTGCACAAAACCTTGATCATTGATTGATTCATTCAAAAAATGTTCATTGAGAGCTTGCTAGCTTTCCTATACTTATACCAAAGATACAGTGGTGAACCATGGGATGTATCTGAGTGTGTGTTCATTGTGAACATTTTGTGCTATAAACAGTGTCATCTGTTATGTTATTTCTTGTGGGGGAAAAAGGTGCTAGTTGAACAAGAGAGCACACTAATTTAGGAATGGATCTGAATTAAGAGCCTACCATTACCTTACTACAAAGGAGTCTTACAGGGAGCCCATGAACTACCTGAAGTTGAAGAGATCTCTGTTTTTGGGAGTGAATTCAGAACCTTGTATTAAATCCTCAAAGCATTCACCAGCCCCCGAAAAGATAAAGAGCTGTGTGTTTAACACCTCTTTATCTTCTCTGAGGCTTCATCTTCTATTTGTAATAATGGTACATTCATTTCTTCCCTCATTGGATTGTTGGGGGATTCAAATCTGGTAATAATTCAAGTTAAACATTGTAAAAGGTAGAGATATATAGAGATGAAAATCTTTATTATAATCAAGCATTCTTTTTTGCTCCTCATTAGTGATCCCAACTGGTGGAAAGGTGAAACCCATCAAGGCATGGGGTTATTTCCCTCTAATTTTGTGACTGCTGATCTTACTGCTGAACCAGAAATGAGTAAGTATTTTCCAGTCTGTAAGTGGATGGTAATCCACAACTGTCTTAATAAAAGAGTAAATTCAACTTCATGGAAAGTTATAACCTGAGCTGGGACTCTCAGATGTTAGTGCCTCCAGAGTGTTTATTAAGAATGCAGCTTGCGTGCTCGCTTCGGCAGCACATATACTAAAATTGGAGTGATAGAAGATTACCATGGTCCCTGTGCAAAGATGACACGCACAGTCATGAAGTGTTCCATGTTTTTGTATTGTATGTAGTGATGAATCATTAAATTCTACTGCTGAAACCAGTATTGCACTGTATGTTAACTAACTGGAATTTAAATAAAAATTTAAAAAGAAAAAAATGCAGCTTCCTAGTCAGTAGATTATTTACCAGAAATCATCTAATTATCTACAGATTGAAATTATCTACCAAGATTATCCCTAAGATAATTGGGCAGACTGTGGACTTTTCTTTAAAAATACTAGATAAATAGCATTATAAAACTGAAGATTAAGAAGTGTTAGGAAATTTATGCACTATGTATTTTCATTATCAGTTGATCAAGTATGACAAATACAGTGTACTCTCATAGAGAATTCTTTCTGTTCTAAGATTGAGGCCATTTCTTTAGCGTCTAGCCCCAAACTTGGAAGCAGTGGCCTGTAAGCAATATAATGGCTTTCCTAAGCCCCCATGTCAGAGAGTCAGAAGGAACCATAACTGATCATGTGAATACCTTTTTGTTTGGTTTCCAAGTGTGTGCTACTAGGGGAAATAAACTAGAAAGTAGGGCCCAGGAGGAAAAGTGATGTTACTGGCAGGCATAATAGTTGCAGGAGATGTAACTACTTGTAACCTACCAAAATGTTGGTAGGCAGTTCACTATATTTCTACATAATACTATACTTCACTATTCTTCATAATGATGAGTTTGGGTCGTCAAGATTAAGTCATAATCTCCCTTTGTTTAAGGAAACAAATATGTTTTGGTATAGAAAGATTTCCATTAGTGGTTGAAAGGTTTAGAATTTTAAGAGTTTGTGTATATAAGCTGGTAAGCTATAGTTATCTGGCAAAATATCTCACCTCATCTCATCTTTCTATAATGCCAGTAGAAGGTATCAAAGAGAGTTATAAGCTACAGGATGCTTAGGTCTTTTTTAGTTTATAAGAATTTTAAGAAAGGATCTTTGTCTTAGTCATCTTTTCATTTTTCGTTTCCAACAGCACATAGTACTGAATCTTACCCAGAATACAGACTATCTAAATATTTATACGATAAATGGTGCATAAGTATGTGTATGTTTACATATATATATGTAAAAGATATACTTTTCCTTGAATAAGAACACTTCTCTTTCAAGAGAAGGCTTTAACAACAAATCAGGCATTACTTTTATCTTTGATGAAACAAAGCTGTCTCCCAATTATTGCCAAGTTGTCTCATGTCATTTTATGACCGATTTATGACAGACAGATTCCTGATACCCATTCTAGTAATGGAGTTCTTTTTTGTTAGAACTCAAAAAGTATGTTGTAGAACCCTTTTTAAATGGCAGTGTATTAGGTGCCAACTTTTTAACCTGGGCTTATGGTGGTGATTTTTTTCTTTGTTTTTTTTTGAGGTTTGGGTTTTTTGTTTTTGTTTTGTCCTCAGTAAGCTATTGGAAAAGATGGAATTGTCTTGGACTTCTGTTCAAGATGAAATCCAAGATCTCATATGGATCATGTAGCCAACTCCTCTTTTTCTCCATCATATAGCAGTGCAGCTTTAAAATGAGTATTCTAGCTCTTCTTCCTGTGTTTCACTCTGGACTACTGAAAAGAAGAGCAGGAATAGGAGAGCTTCTATAATGGAATTTTAGTTCTTGAGCTTGGGAAATGAGTGTTAGCATGATCTTCTTAGCATTCTTCTTCTTCTTTTTTTTTTTTAAGATTTTATTTCTTTATTTGAGAGAGAGAACATGAGAGAGGGGAGGGTTGGAGGGAAAACCAGACTCCCCACTGAGCAAGGAGCCTGATGTGGGGCTCCATCCTGGGACTCGGGGATCATGATCTGAACCGAAGGCAGATGCTTAACCAACTGAGCCACCCAGGCACCTTTTCATAGCAGAAGCCCACTTTACTTAATGTCCTGTACAAGTACCTGCCCTGCTTGGCTTGTTTTTCTTTTGGAAGTGTAGGAAGATATTGTGAAAACAGTTTATTTTGTGTACATGCATACACACACGCATGCATGGACGCACGCATATTTGGTAATAGTATTACTGTCTTTGAGAAAAAGCACTGAAAACTTGTGCATGGTCAGCTGTTAGGATGTGTTCTCTTATGGGTAGCAGCCAATGCGGTGCTTTCCCAGCTCTCTACTTGTTAACAGCTCAAGATATAAAAAGCAGAAATATCTCTAGCACGTGTCTCTTTTACCCCCATGAGAAAATAAAATCAGCTGACACTTTTGTGTGTATAGAATTCTATACACAGTGTGTGTATAGAATTTTGCTTTATGGTGATTTGAATGGGATGAATGGAAATTAAATTACGTACATTTTTATACAGAAGCTTACAGCACCAAATACATAAGTGGTATGAGTTCCTGTTCTCAGAGTAAAAAATCATCGGCCAGATTTCAGTATGTGGGCTAGTAGCACCAGATAGATTCGTATTTAAATCCAGGCAGTGTCATATATTAGCTTTTTCCTGCGCAAGCGTTTTTAAAATTACTGTGCTGCTGTTAACCTCATTGTTAAAATGGTAGAAGAGATTCATTTGGGAGGAAATGTAATATTCTATTACTCACATTTAATAGTTTAATTAATATATTTCTTTTCCATAATTCTCCGTTCCCAAAGCCCTTTTCATCTTGATTCTTAATATTTTTATGAATACTGATTAACCGCATTGGTACAAGAATGAGAAATGCAGAAAGGAAGTTCATCCCTTTAAAGTCATATGAGCCTCTCAGTATATTGGGGGAGAAGATTAATTGCTCTATTTTTTTTTATTTATTTTTATTCTTATGTTAATCCCCATACATTACATCATTAGTTTTAGATGAAGTGTTCCATGATTCATTGTTTGTGCATAACACCCAGTGCTCCATGCAGAATGTGCCCTCCTCAATACCCACCACCAGGCTAACCCATCCTCCCACCCCCCTCCCCTCTAGAACCCTGTTTGTTTTTCAGAGTCCATCGTCTCTCATGGTTCATCTACCCCTCCGATTTCCCCTGCTTCATTCTTCCCCTCCCGCTACCTCCTTCTTCTTTTTTTTTCTTAACATGTATTGCATTATTTCAGAGGTACAGATCTGAGATTCAACAGTCTTGCACAATTCACAGCGCTTACTGATTAATTGCTCTATTAATCATAATCTTATATTTACTAGTTAATGATATATTGAATAGTTTTTAAAGATTGCTTTGTTAAGCAAGAGAAATTTGTGCTTCTGGCCAGTGGTTTGCAGATCCCTTCATAACCACATTTTTATTTCAAAGAATAATGGAACTAAAAATTGCGGGCTGATTTAGTGGAAAATTCAGATCATTGCCCATGCCACTTGTAAAGTTCTCCATTGACCTGGATGTCATTCTCCTAGTAACGTCTGAGTAGCTTGCCAGAGAACGTATAGCTGACTTTCCATTTCACTACATTGAAATAGCATGGTCTTTCAAATGAGATTTTTCTTTGAAGGGACTGATAATTTAAAAGAGGACTTATTTTAATTTGTAGAGTTCATTTATGTCCTTGTAAAACTTTACTTTTTGTCCACCAATTTACTAAACTCTCATATGTAGTAGGTAATTAATCTTTGTTTCAGAAATATACCTCCTATTTTTAGTGAAGTATCTTTTATGGAAAATGTAAATTCTTAAGAGAAAATTAAGAAATCTTCACAGAATTCCATAAAATAATGTTCTCTCATTATTGCCTAAATCTGTAGTTTATTCCTTGAATTTAGTCTCTCAGATTGAAGGGAATAAAAGAAAAATCCAAATTCTCTCATGCAGTTTAAAGTGCTTTAGAACAGAATTTTAAGTTTATTATAAGGAAAAGATAAATATTACATGTTTTACAGTTAAAACGGAGAAGAAGACGGTACAATTTAGTGATGATGTTCAAGTAGAAACAATAGAGCCAGAACCGGAGCAAGCCTATATTGATGAAGTAAGTGATTTCCTCTGTGAGAGTTGTTCATACTTGGTATTAAAGTTGAAGTGCTCTTACTGTTTTCTTTTAAAAAAATTGATTACTTGATTAGTGCATATATTTTAGGTTATAAAATTCGAGCAACATAGACAAAGCAAAGACTGTCCTTGAAACTGTCTCTCTAGTCCCATTCTGTACCTCATTATTTAAAATTCCTGCTTAATATTCCATAGAATGGGTTTATATGATTTAATTATTTTGCTATTGGAACTAAGGTTTTTTGCAGTTTTTTTGTTTTGTTTTTTTAAATTATTGCAAACACAATTTTGTGAAATTTTTTTGGATGGAATATATTTAATAGAATATGTGACTTTTATTTGTGAAGGTCAGTATTTAATGCTCTGGAAGTTACATTCTTTGTAACATTTTAAACTTATGATGAAAAATGATATGTCATCTTTAAAATATTTGAAGGGAAAAAAAATAAAATATTTGAAGGGATTTTATAGGTTTTTAGCCGCCTTTGGGAGGAGCCATAAAGTTTGAAGTTTCTCTTTTAGAGAAACAGACTGTTGAAGACTGTGCTGAGAGCCAGGGAATCTGGATCAGGGAAAGTTATGTTTGGCCAGTTGCATTGCATAAGAAAATGTGTGTAGAGTCAGCCTAGTGGTCTGTATAGAAATCTCATTTCTCTGATATTAACTAATTTCAAATAGGTGTAATATTCTGTAAACAAATAAAAATTACCCAGGTGTTAGTTGGCTCTCATCATATTACCCCCCACTTCCCCCACTTTTTTTTTTCTTTGCTGTAGGCAAACTTTTCTGACACATACCTTCTTTTCTAGGCTACTTAAAATGAAAATTATGAATCTTTTACATTGAAAAATAGTATCCATTTCAACATATAAAATTCTTTTGACTTTAGAAGAGTTTTTTATGTATTTGTGTCCCTTTCACTGTCCAGTGCTTAGTTTATCTCTCAGGCTGTTCTTTGCAGAAACAGAGTTTTTGTTTTGGCTTAAATGACTGGATAAAACTGGTAGTCTTTTACATTGTTTACCTAATGTACCTGTGGTTAGTAACATAACCGTGTAAAAACCATGCATGGAGAAAACTTTGTCATTATTATAGTAGTATTCTTTGGTACATGAGATCAGTATTTTGATTCTTAAAAACTTACATATAAGCACATGTATACTTGTGTAATAGTATAGATGTATTAATATAATGATGGCTTCATTAGTTCCATTGGTTTTTATAAGGGAAGATTCTGAAATAGATCTGAGTCCTTGCTTTGAGATACCTTTCAGCCTTCTCACATAGGAAAGTAGAGAAACCACAAATCTTTCCTTTTATGACAGACTGAAATACTGGTGGAAAGAAAATGTAGAATAAAATCGTATGGCCCTACTTAGAAGGAGAAGAGCTGTAATATAGCTGAGCTATGCCTTGCTAAAACAGCTGCTGTATTCACCATGGTGGAGAAGTGATAACGAGTTGTTAGTCATAAGTAATGCCATCTTGAGAGAGAAGTTAAACCTGTCAGTATGGCAAGGCTACAGCCGCTCCAGAACAAAATGACACAGAAATCCACAAGCATGACATAACAGATTGAAGAACTCACACGTTTTAAGTTTAAATATGGTTCTGTTTCTTCTCATTTAAGAAAGTCCCTGTTAGCAGTTTCAAAAGTAAGTAGGAAAAGCTTTTAGGCCTCTGACTTCACATGGTACTAAAGAGAACACAAATACTAAATATGTCAAAGCAAGATTGGAGTCTCCATATGAATCACAAAAATTCTCCATCCATTATCTAATTAATGAAGTGAGACCATATTGTTGCATAATGATTTATTGCTTTTTTATTAACTATTTAATTCCTGTAGGACAAAATGGACCAATTGCTACAAATGTTGCAAAGTACAGATCCCAGTGATGATCAGCCAGATCTTCCAGAGTTACTTCATCTTGAAGGTAAACTTTGTTTTCCATTAACCTTACACATAAAGAATAATCAGAGGTTATATCTAGTGTTTTGCAGAACAGTTTTATATTTAAAATCATTTGGGAATGATACAAAAATGTTAACATTTCCACTCCTCCATGACCCAGTCTCACTTATATGAATATCCATGAGAGATGCTTTCTTTTGCTGTGTTTTCTTATATTTCTTTAAATCTTGTTATCTTAGCAATGTGTCACCAGATGGGACCTCTCATTGACGAAAAGCTGGAAGATATTGATAGGTAAAAGAACATGTGCTATATCTATGTTGTATATCTTCTTCCCTGAAGTTCTCTTTAAGTGCATATTGGGATAGAGCTGCCTTTTTATTATTTTTTTATTTTAAAGAAATGCCAGAAGAACCAGTTCTCATTCAGTTGTTTTCCACTATAGATGTGGGAATTAGAATTAGATACATCTGCCTATTTTTTTTTTAAGGTGAGCATTTATTTGACCTTAATTATATTAGTCTTTTTAAAAAATAGTGGTTACCTATTGTAATCATTGTAATGCTGTAAGTGGCATTACCAGAGCTCACAAATGTCCCACCCCATCTGTTATTTACTAGGGACACCTCGTTATTTCCAGGTAAAGTCAAGTACAATAATAAGCTGGCGTTCTCCCAGCATAGTACCTTAAGCAGTTTTGGTTATCTTGGAGCTAAAATACAGGATATTTTCTGCCATAAGGTTAAATTTTTAGTAATGTCTGCTTATATTACTTTTTGCTATTTTACGTGCCTTCTTATTTAGAACATCGTATCATTTAAATAGCAATTGTGTTTGAAATTACTGTGTAATATTTCAGAAAACATTCAGAACTCTCAGAACTTAATGTTAAAGTGATGGAAGCACTTTCACTGTATACCAAGTTAATGAATGAAGATCCAATGTATTCCATGTATGCAAAATTACAGAATCAGCAGTATTATATGCAGTCATCTGGTGTTTCTGGTTCTCAGGTAAGCTTTTAAAAATTCAAGTATATCAGTTTATTTTTTATTTTATTTTTTTAAAAGATTTTGTTTATTTTAGAGAGCGAGCACGTGAACGGAGGGCGGGGCAGAGGGAAAGGGAGAGAGACAGTCTCAAGCAGACTCCCCGCTTGAGCGAGGAGCCTGACTCAGAGCTCGATCTCAGACCCTGAGATCATGACCTGAGCCAAAATCAAGAGTTGAATGCTTACCGACTGAGCCACCCAGGTAGCCCCCCTCAAGTATATCATTTTAAATTCTCAATATATTTGAGATTATTTGGAATAGCTGTGTTTTTGTAAAATGTGTAACTTTCTGAAAGTAATCTTAGAATAAAGTTTAAAATAATTTTTTACTTGATAAGTACAGTGTATAATACACTAATTATTCCAGTAATTCTTTTTAAAAAGTTGTTTTTCTTCAAGGGTGTGCATCAGAATCACTAATCAAACTTAAAAAAACAAAAATACAGGTTCCTTGGCCCCACCCGAAACCTATTAAAGTGTTCAAGAGTAAGGCCCAAACATCTATATATTTCTAAAACTTCATATGTAATTATCTTGTTAAGAACCACATTTTTTTGTCTGATTACTAAGTTATTACTAAATTTTTCTGGCTATCTGCAGTTTTTGGTTTTATATAAAGTTGCTTTAATCTGAGTTTTTCCCTCTTCCTTTACATGAAAAGATGTAGAATGTATTATAGAGCCCTTTTCCCCCTTATTCACCCTAAGCAACTGTTTCAAGAGCCCTATTTCCACAAACTCAGCAAGTTTACTGTATAGGGAATAATTAGCCAGGCACTCCATTTTACTTATGCAGAGTGGCAAAGGCTTTGTGCAGTTAGTTTTTTTCTTAAAATAATGGCCCACTTCCCCAGAAATGAGGGGCCAGATGCCTGGGGCTGAGCAGTCAGATTTGAGCAGCATGGGGCTAGGTGACACCTATTCATGGCTCTTGATACCAGTTTGAGAAAAAAACAAAAACTCTTCATGTTTCATTTGCAAAGTATAAAAAACAAGGCGTTTAAGAAGACTGGAATAGCTCTGTTTATAATTAAGACCTTCTGTATTCTGATGTATGGTGAGTCTCTTATGGCTTAAAAGAAGTGCTAAGATGATTGTCTTATCTCCTGATAACTGTGTTACTACTATTTTAACAGCTGGTAAAAGTCTCACTACATAGACAGTAGAGTTCTCTTTTCAGATATATGAAATGGAAGGATCTAGTGAATACTATAGAAAATTAGAATATTATGTGTGCTTAAGATTTGGGGCATTTAAGAAGTCAGTCTCTTTAGATTAAAATAAGTATAGTTTTTAGATGCGTGAGTGGTCAGACAATAGCCCAAAGGCCAAATCCAGCCTCCCACCTCTTTTTTTTTAAATAAACTTTTGCTGTAACATAGCCATTCTCACTTGTTTATACACTGTTTCTGGCTGCTTTCTATATGGGCAGAGTTCCGAGAGGCCCACAAAGCCTAAAATATTTATTATCTGGACTTTTGTAAAAATGTTTGCTGACCCCTGCTTTTGAAAGTTAGCTTGCTTTGTGTTCACTGAACTGTAATATAGGAAATACAAATTGTATCTATAAGTAAATGCAGTCTATTGACATGAAACAGTGAATTCAAAGACACTTCTTAAACATTTTTTGGGATTCCTTTTAGGAGAGTACTTAAAATATCAGTATGGAAAGAGAGATAATATTAGTATAAAGTTTCAAGGTAAGTTCCTTTACTGCTTCTGTATGAGATAAACACGAGTTTAGCTCATGTTTACCTAAGAACAAAAATCATCAGAAGCTCACTTCACTGAAAAGTATTTTTTTAAATGCCTATCAGAAGAAGTAACTTTCAAAAAGATTTCAGAGATTACATTGTTCACTTTGTAATTGAATGCCTTTACAAAGAAATTTTGGCATACCTTTTAAAATCTTAGAAAATGTATTATTTATTTATTTTTTTTAATCATGAACTGTTCTAGGTCTATCCAGGGCCTCCCCAAAGTGGTGCTTACCTGGTTGCAGGGAGTGCACAGATGAGCCATCTCCAGAGCTACAGTCTTCCCCCAGAGCAGCTGTCTTCTCTCAGCCAAGGAGCAGTTCCACCATCTGTAAACCCAGCCCTTCCCAGTCAGCAGACTCAGGCTTCTTACCCTAAGTAATTTGAGTTTTGACTATTGTTTTACTGTTGTTTGGAGTTAGTGCTGTTGTAACTCTTAAATGCCTCCAATCACCTGTAACCATAAGAGCTACATAAGAAAAACCTAGGATAGATGCCATCACTAATACCAGATGGTCAGCCCTGTGTGTGGTGATGAGTGGATTCTACATGAACCCCTGCATTATTGCATTACTAGCCAGCAAGCTAGTCTTGTGTCTTACTGACTCATTGAACTGCTCTATTCAAGTCTTGGTTCTGTATTTTTAAAATTTCCTATCATTTTTCTTTTTATCAAGGTGAAATTGGCATATAACATTATGTAAGTTTCACATGTACATTTTAATTCTTTATCTGTATACACTATAAAGTCTAGTTACATCTATCACTATTCAGTTGACCTCCTTCAGCCATTCCACCCACCCCCACACCCTCTTCCCTTCTGGTAACTTCCAATCTGTTCTCTGTAGGAGTTTGGTGTGGTGGTGGTTGGGTTTTTTTTTTTTTAGATTCCACATATGAGTGAAATCATGTATTTGTCTTTCTCTGTCTGACTTATTTCACTTGCCATGACAATACTTTTAAGTTCCATGCATGCTGTCTCAGATGGTAAGATTTCATTTTTTTTATGCCTGAGTAGTATATATACACTACATATACTACTATACACACATACACACACACACACACACACACCCCATCTTCTTTATCGATTAATACATCAGTGGACATTTTGGTTATTTCCATTTCTTGGCTATTGTAAATAATCCTGCATTGAACATAAGGGTGGATATATCTTTTCAAATCAATATTTTTGTATTCTTCAGATAAATACCCAGAAGAGGAACAGCTGGCTCATATAGTTGTTCTATTCTTAATTTTTTGAGGAATCTCCATACTGTTGGCTGCACCACTTTACATTCCCACCAACAGTATATGATGATTCCCTTTTTTGTACTGCCTCATCAACACTTGTTATTTCTTGTCTTTTTGATAATACCCATTCTAATTGGTGTAAGGTGATATCTCATTGTGATTTTGATTTGCATTTCCATGATAATTACTGATGTTGAACATCTTTCCTGTGCCTCTTGGCCATCTTTAGGTCTTCTTTGGAAAAATGTTTATTCATATTATCTTCCCACTTTTAAATTGGATTGTTTGGTTTCTTATTGTTGAGTTACATGAATTCTTTATATATTTTGCATATTAATCCCCTCTCAGATATATGAGTTGCAAAAACCTTCTCCCTTTCAGTAGGTTGCCTTTTCATTTTGATGATGGTTTCTTCCGCTGTGCAGAAGAAGCTTATTTTGATGTAATCCCATTCATTCATTCATTTTTTTGTTTCTCTTGCCTTTGGAGTCAGATCCACAGAGATATTGCTAAGACCGATGCCAAAGAGCTTATTACCACCTGTGTTTTCTTCTAGGAAATTTATGGTATCAGGTTTTTATATTCAAGTCTTTAATCCATTTTGAATTAATTTTTGTGTATGGTGTAAGCTAGTAGTCCAGTTTCATTCTTTTGCATTTGGCTGTCCAGTATTGCCAACACCATTTACTGAAGATGCTGTCCTTTCTACATTGTATGTTCTTGGCTTCTTTGTTGTAAGTTAATTGTCCATATGTGTGTAGGTGTAATTCTGAGCTCTCAGTGACGTCCCACTGATCTGTGTGTCTCTTTTTATACTGATACTGTACTGTTTTGATTACTGTAGCTTTGTAGTATAGTTTTAAATCAGGGAGCATGATACCTCCAGCTTTGTTGTTCTTTCTCAAAATTGCTTTGGCTATACAGGATCTTTTTTGGTTCCATACAAATTTTAGAACTATTTGCTCTAGTTCTGTAAAAAATGCCCTTGGAATTTCAATAGAGATTATAATGAATCTATAGATTGCTTTGGGTAGTATGGAGACTTAACATTAATTCTTCTAATCCATGAGCACAGAATATCCTTCCATTTATTTGTGTCTTCTTCAGTTTCTTTCATCAGTGTCTTATAGTTTTTAATGTACAAGTCTTTCACCTCCTTGGTGAAGTTTATTTCTAGGTGTTTTATTTTTTTTGATGCAGCTGTAAGTGGGATTATTTTCTTAGTTTCTCTTCCTAATAAGTCATTATTAGTATATAAGAATGCCACAATTCTGTATTTTGATTTTGTGTGTTTATAATATCTTTGTCAAGTATCCTTTGACTACTGGATTCATGTATTCTAACAAATTTTTGGTGGTGTCTTTTGGCTTATCTGCATGTAGTATCCTGTCATCTACAAATAGTGACAGTTTTACTTCCTTTTCAATTTGGATGCATTCTCCTTTTCTCTTCTCTTCTCCCCTCTCCTCTCTACTCTTCTCCCTTCCTCTTCCCGCTTTCTTTTTATTTCTTGGCCTAATTGCTGTGGCTAGGACGTCCAGTAGTATCTGAATAAAAGTGGCCAGAGTGGGCATCATTGTCTTGTTCATGATCTTAAAAGAAAAGCTTTCTTTTACCATTGAGTATAATGTTAGCTGTGGCTGTGTCATTATGTGTTTTCTTATGTCCACTAATGGTCCCTCTGTACCTATTTATTGAGTTTTCATCATAAGTGAATGTTGTATTTCATCAAATGCTTTTTCTGCATCTGTTGAAATGATGGGATTTTTAAATTTTTATTTATTTCTTTGTTTATTTGTGAAGGAGTGGAGGATGATGGGAGGGGCAGAGGGAGCAACAGAATCTTAAGCAAGCTCCATACCCAGCATCGAGCCTGACACGGGGTTGGATCCCAGGATCCTGAGATCATGACCTGAGCCGAAATCAGGAGTCAGACCCTTAACTGACTGAACCACCCAGGCGCCCCTGAAATGATCATGATTTTTATTAGTTTTGTTAGTGTGGTATATCATGTTGTTTGATTTGTGGATATTGAGGCATTCTTGCATCCCTGGAATAAATCCCACTTGATGTCATAGTGTATGATCCTTTTAATGTATTGTTGAATTTGGTTTGCTAATATTTTGTTGAGGAATTTTGCATCAATGTTCATCAATGATAGGCTTGTAATTACCTGTGTGTGTGTGTGTGTGTGTGTGTGTGTGTGGTTTCCTTATCTGGTTTTGATATCAGGATAAGGCTGGCTTCAAAAAATCGTTTTGGAAGTATTCCCTCCTCTTCAGTTTTTTGGAAGAGTTTGAGAAGGATAGGTATTAAATCTTCTTTGAATGGTAGAATTCACCAGTGTGAGGGTGTTTGGTCCTGGACTTTTGTTTGTTGAGAGGTTTTTGATGGCTGACTCAATCATACTACTAGTAATCTGTCTATTCAGATTTTCTATTTCTCTGTGATTCAGTCGTAGAAGATTGTTTCTAGTAACTCTTCCATTTTTTTCTAGATTTCCCAGTTTGTTGGCATATGTTTGTAGTCGTTGCTCTTCATCCTTTGTATTTTTGTGGTGTCAGTTAAAACTTTTTTCATTTCTGATTTTATTAGAGCTTTCTCTTTCTCTCTTGGTTTGTCTAGCTAAGGTTTGAGTTTCTTTATCTTTTCAAAGAACCAGCTCTTAGTTTCATTGACTTTTTTTTAATGTGCCTATTTCATTTATTTCTGCTCTGATCTTTATTATTTCCTTCCTTTTCTTGACTTTGTGTTTCATTTGCTCTTCTTTTTCCAACTCCTTTATATGGAAGATTAGATTGTTTGAGATTTTCTTATATCTTGAGGTAGGCCTGTATTGCTTTGATCTTCTGTCTTTAAACCACATTTGCAGCATCGCATAGATATTTCTGTTCATTTGTCTCTAGGTATTTTTTGATTCTTTTTTGATTTCTTTATTGATTTAGTGATGTTTAGTAGCATATTGTTTAATCTCATCTATTTGTCGTTTTTCCAGTTTTCTTCTCAGAGAAGATGCTTGATGTGATTTCAGTTTTCTTGAATTTATTGAGACTTGTTTTGTAGTCTAACATGTGATCTGTCCTAGAATATGTTCCATATGCATTTGAGAAGAATGTGTATTCTGTTCCTTTTGGATGGTGTGTTCTGTAATTATCTATTAAGTACATCTGGTCTAATGTGTTGGTTAAGGCTGATGTTTTTTTATTGACTTTCTGTTGGGATGATCTACCCATTGATATAAGTAGGATGTTAAAGTCCCCTACTGTTACTGTATTACTGTCCATTCCTCTCTTTAGGTCTGTTAATATTTACTTTATATATATTATTGCTCCTATGTTGGATGCATGTATATTTATAAATGTTGTGTTTTCTTTTGGATTGACCTTTATATCATTATGTAAAGCCCTTTCTCTATTATTATAGTCTTTTTTTTAAAAAAAGGTTTTATTTATTTATTTATTTGAGAGAGTACAAGTGTGGGGGATGCAGAGGGAGAGGGAGAAGCAGACTCCCTCCTGAGCAGAGAGCCTGACATGGGGCTCAATCCCTGAGATCATGACCTGTGATGAAGACAGATGCTTAATGGACGGAGCCACCCAGGCTCAGTTTAGTTATAGTCTTCTAATGCGTATTTTGTCTAATGTGAGTATAGCTACTTCAGCTTTCTTTTTGTTTCCATTTGCATGGAATATCTTTCTCTAGCCCTTCCCTTTCAGTCTGTTTCTGTCCTTACTTTGAAGTAAGTCTTTTGTAGGCTGTATATAGATGGGTCATGTTTTTTATCTATTCCATCTTTTTTGATTAGAGCGTTTAGTCCATTTACATTTAAAGTAATTATTGATAGGTATATATTACCTGCCATTTTGTTAGTTGTTTTCTGGCTATTTTCATAGTTCCTCTCTGTTCCTTTTCTTTCTCTCCTGTCTTGTGGCTTGATGGCTTTCTTTAGTGTATGTTTAGATTTTTCTTCTCATTTTCTTTTGTATATTTACTATAAGTTTTTGCTTTGTGGTTACCATGAGGTTCACATATAACTTGCTGTGCATATAACTTTGTTTTGACTTGATAGCAACTTAAATTTGAACACATTTCAAAACTTTACATTTTTCCCTCTACTCCCGCTT